GCTTTAAGACTTGCATGCTTCAAATGCCAGAGTTTCTGAGCCAACATTTTGGTTGCTAAGCAAGAGCGTTGTCAAGTGAGTTTCACCACATCTTACAAGTTGGCCATGCCCACCCAGTCACATGACTGTCAAGCCACTTCCACTCGGTCATGTGGCTGGCAAGCCACTCCCACCTGGTAACATGGCTGTCAAGCCACTCCCACAAAGCAGGTCACACCTACAAAAGAGGTTCTAAAATTTTTTGAAACCTACCACTGATTAACTATGAGCTTAGTTTGTCATGAGAACACAATTTATTCTGAGATCGGACAACAGCTTGTGGGATGGGCATGAAAACCTTTTTGTGTAGTGCATTTGTTCTTCATTTGTAGTAAACAATAATTCTTCCATGACATTCTAAGAGAGTAAATTTCATACCTGCTGCTCTTTCCCTCCTATTATCTCCACCAGCTAATTCCATTGTGTTTTCTTTTTCCTGTTGATTTGTCAGTCACCCATTCCCACTGAAGCAACAAGAATCTGAAATGGTCTATTGGTTTCTATCCCATAATTAGAAAAATGCCAAATTCAGCCCACTAAAGATCCATGGGGAACAGATTGCCAAAGAAATGGAGCATGCAATTTGTCGATGCAGAGCAAAAGTTGATTTAGTCTAGTGTTTTGTTTCTTACAGTAACCAAACAGATGCTTCAAGGTAGTCAATCAGCACAGTGTATCTACAATAGGTTTCCCCTGCTAGCATCTCTGTACCACCAGCAAGGTGGTTAGCAGACATAACTCACACTCTTTGAGGAATCTGTTCTCCATGGATTCTCTAGTGGGCTGAATTGGTTGCCCATTTCAAATATTAACACTTACACTGCCTAGCGGATTTAATGCCTCATTTACTTAACACTTCAATTAAGTTCCCTAAGTGTTAGAGAGTTAATGGTTTATCATTGCACAGTAAACTTCCTTCCTAGAAAATTATCTGATGCATCTTAGAAGCTTTATGGAAAATAAATTCACTCAAATTTAAAATGCCTGCACTGGCATCTCTACAAATAGGCTGAGTGCTGACTCTCACGCTAAAAATCAAGACTTTGGCAAAAAGTTATTTTGAATCTAATAAAGAGTATTATATCATATCATATTATATTTATTATTAATTTGGATAAATGTTATGGTGTTTGGATAGTAGTTAAAGAAGGGTCATCACCTTGGTTTAACATGTGGAGGGAAAGTAGGCTTCTTCTGCCTACTCTACCAACCACGATTGGAACTAGACTGCGAATTTAATCTCTAATAAAATGTGGTGATTTCTTTAAGAGTGGCTTTGTATATTCTGTAAGTTGTGACTCTTTGATAATTCCCTGATTTAAAATTATTTAACTGCAGTACTGCTATACAGGGATCTTCATTGTTCTCCCACTTGTGCAAATATAATGAGGGATTAGTGTTCAAGTGTTGTCAAGGTGAATGCAGGGGTAGCCTAAGCTCTTGGATTCTGAGCCAACTAAGAACACGGTGCCTCCTCATTCTATGCAGAAAAGTCACAGTAGTTGAATGTTTAACTAACAGTGAATGTTTCTTCATCACAGACTATGGAGCAGCATCTTCCACAACAACTGAAGGCAGTAGTTTACTTTAGGGATGCAGGAAAGGCCAGAATATATATGACTGGCACCTGCAAGCTCCATTTTTTTGCCCAACAACTTCCATTCGCTTTGGTTAATGGTAGGGCCAGCCCTGGTGATATTGGGATTTCATTATGGCATAATAACATCCACCACCAGAATGGTACCTTAGGATCCAAGCCAAAGTTGGAATCCATAAATTTAAAATATTTTAAAACTTCTGTAATTATCATGAACATGAAACTTACTGGGCTCCTGAAAAAGGAAATCATGAAATGACTGCCTATTTTCCAGTGGGATCTGGTCTGTGAGCATAAAAGCTTGAATCAAGCAACTGCTACCCTCTTCTTCTTTGGGGTGATGTTTGGTGCTGTGATCTTTGGAGACTTGTCTGACAGGTAATATGGTTTCATTCTTCCATTATTTTATCTAGATATGTGGGCATTTGAGGATGTTGCAACAGTTCATGACCAGGCAATAAAAATTGCATCAATGTGAGAATCCAACGCTCTGGATCAGGGGTGTCAAACTGGCGGCCCGCAATCCGGATACATCAGGTACAGGGCACGCCCACCCCAGTTCCACGAAGGGGGAAAACATCACAAAATGTCACGCAATGGCAACATGACGCCGTGAGTTTGACACCCATGCTCTAGATACTTACACATAATTTTCGAGCAAAAACACAGCTCTTTTGCTCACCATTACAATTTTCAGCCCAACTTTAGAACAACTTTGCAAAAGCCCACACTTGCTACCCCATCCTAGGTAGATTAAAATCTGATTTACTTTAAAATGATTTACTCTAAAATAAATTAACAATATTATTGCTAAAACCTATAAACAACTGTAGCAAACCTAGGATGTAAAACTCTAGGCAACCACTAGATGTCAGCAAAGTATTGGTATTTTTCCTAATTCTTTGCCGACCCCTAGTGGTGGTTGTGCTTTGCAGCCTAAGTCTGGCAGTGCTAATGTATGAGACATTTGTCAGGGAAATGATCAGTGGACATTTTGCAATATCCAGGAAATAGCTGGATCTTTTTGGAATGTTCCACCAGAGGGAACCTGTTGAAGTAAATGTAACTTTCCTCATTTCAGCAAACAATGATGTATGTGTGGGAATAACAGAAACAGTGTTGGAAACACAGCCAGGGGAAAGCTAAATGAAAACCTAAAGGCAAAAGCTTTCTAGGAAGGTACCAGAGCATTCCTCTAAAGATCTAATTGGAGGCGAGGATCTAGGCAACTGGTCTTCGTTTACATTCATATTAGAAGATAATTTGGCATCAAGCCAGAACCCAAGAGATCATGAGTTCTAATCCTGCCTTAAGCACAAAGCCACTGGACTGACCTTGGGCTAGTTACTTTCTCTCTCAGCTTTAGGAAGCATGCAAAGGCAAATCGTTTCTGAAATCTTGTCAAGGAAACTGCAGGAAATAGTCTAGCCTGGAGTGGGAGAAGTCAGTGCCACCAACTCGCCACGGGCCAACTCGCTGTGGGACAATTCAACAATTCACTTTAATTATTTAAATTAATGAAAACATGTTTTAATTTTTGGCTTTCACGTTTCATTTTGTCCCTCCTTTTGCATCCTTTCTTTAGTGGTTCTATTCCACCATTTCTTCCATATTAGTGTGACTCTATTCTCATGTTGAGTTGTTCCTTGGCGAGTTGCTTGTGGCGAATTGTCCTAGACTCGCAAGTCACCAGGCATCAAGACTGACTCAAAGGCATCTATATATTCATATTATTCTTTTGTAATCACCAGGCCAAAATATACTCCCCCGTAGTAAAAAATGTTATAGTCTTGAATGATTTTTGTATCCACAGAAAGCACATCTAGGTACATCCTGTCTCTTGGTATGTGCTTAACATTTTATCCCATACTTTTATGGGGGCAGAAGCATGAAGACTTTAGCTTCCAATTTTTCATCTCGGGAACAAGCTCCCATTTGTCCTCAACAATACTTATGAAGGACCAATTACTTAGGTTGCATGAAAAGACTAGCACAGATGTAATGGCACAGTAAATACAAAATAAATCAAGAAGAAATTAAAATGGTAATACCCTTCCACATGTATTTATTTATTTCCATTTATTCAAATGTAATGCATCTATCAGGGGCAGGCTTCAAAAATTTTAGCAAGGGGTTCTCTCCAGTTGCTGGGTGGGTGTGGTCATGGTGGGAGCGGCCTAGTCAGGCTCCTGTATTACAAGGGGGCATTTTTGCCTTCCCCGGGCTCTGAAGGCTTTCTTTGAGCCTCTGGGAGGACGAAAACAGCCTCCCCAGGCTCTGGAGGCCCTCTGGAGGTGGCCTTCTCGAACTTCTGATAGGTCCATTTTTTGCCCTACCTGAGCCTCTGTGTGCACCCTGCACTTAACTGCATTCAAAATGGGCCACGTGTGGGCTCCTGGGAGGGGTGAGATCGGCGGAGCCCGCCAGGAGTGGGATTTTGGGGTTCTCTGAATTGCACAGCATCTTAGCTAGAGGTTCTCCCAAACCCCTGTGAACCCCAGCAGACCCCATCCCTGGCATATATTTCCACTTATGTACATATTCTACAGGAACTTAGTAACTGCTCCAAAATAATTTCTGGGTTCCATTTTTGTTCTTGGGCAGGTGAAAACAGACTTCTTGAAAGTACAAGATATTGCTTTGTCCCCCATGATAAATATTATTATTATATGAAGCTTGTTGTCTAGTGATGATTCTGCTCCTTGAGCAACTCTTTACTTGCCTAGATAAAAAGTGAACTATTAGCCAATTTCTCTGAAAAGGCAATTTGCAACTCTTATGACCTTTGGTAGGGTTGCAAGTTGCCTCCTTAGTTACAGCAATAATGTTTCTTTCTACGGTGCCTCAGGTTTGGTCGAAAGAGAATGCTCCTGGTGTCCTACTTGGGCACGCTCATCTTTGGGGTATTGAGTTCTGCCTCAGTTTCCTATAGTATGTTTGCAGTGACACGGACTCTGACAGGAATCTCTATCTGTGGACTCTCCATCATTGTGATACCTCTGGGTAAGCCAAAAAGAAGGCCAAGGTGGGACGTTAAAAAGTAGCTTTGGATAAATAGGAATCCATTGTGCAAAGGAGTTCGTGGATATGAAACATGAACTTTTCTGCATGCTTCTTGTGGAAAGAGGAAAGGATCAAGTGTATTATATGTAGTTATGGATCAGAGGTGTCTGCAGCAGTGGTGGGTTCCTACCAGTTCAGAATGGTTCAACCAAACTGGTAATGGTTTGGCGGCCTAGGGCGCTGGAACCGGCAGGCCTGCCACACCCCCGAACTGGTTGTTCAGGCAGTGCCGTAGGCGCCGCCATGTTGTTTTTTGCTTCTGTGCATGTAGAGAACAATTTTTATTGTTCAGAGCCGAGGTGGCGCAGTGGTTAAATGCAGCACTGCAGGCTACTTCAGCTGACTGCAGTTCTGCAGTTCGGCTGTTCAAATCTCACTGGCTCAGGGTTGACTCAGCCTTCCATCCTTTCGAGGTGGGTAAAATGAGGACCCGGATTGTTGTTGGAGGCAATATGCTGACTCTTAGAGAGGGCTGAAAGCCCTATGAAGCGGTATATAAGTCTAACTGCTATTGCTATTGCTATAGCGCACCCATGAGCAAACTGGCAGTAGTGACTTCCGGAACCCACCCCTGATCTGCAGCATATGGTCAAAGGGCAAGATGGCGGGTATGATTGCACATAAAAATAAGTGAGCTTTGATAGCAATCCCTTACCATACCCTGCAGATATATGGTATCCTTACAAACTGAAATCTATGAGTGAAAAACAGTGTGATGCAGTCCTAAGCCGAGCAAATACACAAAAGCTCTGGATCCTTTAAGCGTGAGTCCAAGTTTTGACCTTTCGCAGTGAAAGGTGATGAGATAACATATGAGTTTTTTCTTAATAGCTGTAAATTCTAAAAAAAAAAAAAAAAAAAAAGTGAAGCGCATAGTGTTTCAAATGTACTCACTGGCCCTAAAAATTGCCAATTCTTGATTTAAACCAAAATCTGAAATCAAATTATAAGCTGATTGCAAGATAAACCAGCAATGAAAACAACCATCAAGGAAAGAAGTGCAAGAGATTAAAAGCAAGCTGATCAAGAAAGCTGCAAATCTGAGAAGGACAAAGGACTCCTCAGTTCCCGGAGAATCAAAGGCTAAGATGAAGGGCTATAAAATGTATCTTTTGTGCTGCAATCTCTAGATCTGTCCTCCTTTTCCAATAAAAGGGAGACCTCTGTGCAGATGGGCCTATTGAGCACTTTTTCTATCTTCTAGGCATGGAATGGGTGGATATACAACATCGCACCATATCGGCGGTTATAACCAGTCTCTTCTGGAGTTTTGGAAATATGCTTCTTGCTCTGATTGCCTATTTGGTGCGGGATTGGCACTGGCTGCTTCTCACCACCTCTCTTCCGTGTATAGTGGGCATCATCTCCACATGGTGGGTAAAAATGTTATTTCTCAAAAACTCCTAAACTAGTAAAAGCAAAATGGTGGTGAAAGGACTCATAGTGCTTTTACGGGTGGGACTTTGGAAATACAAAGTTGAAGGCAGCTAATCAGAAGAAACTTTGTTTCTATGAAAGGGGCACATCAGGGATGTGCTCAAAAAGTCAAGGTTGAAGCAATTGAAGCTCCACCCATTTTTTAGGTGTGGATTGTTAAAGGAGCAAGAAAGGGGTGTTTTCTCTCTAGAAAAACCTTCCACAGAAAGTCGGAGCAAAGTACACCAAAGGGAGTCACCAACTTTGGCTCATGGCTTGCAATCTGGAAAAGCCCCAAAATTAAAATATTAAGAGAAAGATGTTAATTTGTGCCTAGCATGTTTGCTATAAACTGAAATGGGTGATCTAGCAGCTTGTCTCAAGTGCTAATGACCCAGTGTTTGGCATTTTTAAATAAAAGATAACACCATAATGGTTGACTAAGAACACAAAAATAATCTGGTTGAACAAGAATTAGGCATTGCTCATACAAGTAAGAAGAACATTTTCTTTTGTGAAGCCCTTTAGATGTCTGTGATTGAAATGTTCATATCCATCCCTTTAATATATCCAAATATTCAGATATGTTTACATATTTAATGTTTTTGGATCAGCCTCAAATTAAGATTAACATAATCTTGCTTCAAAATTCAGGTCAGAGATCCCGAAATAAACAACATCTTATTTTCTTCTATTGGAAGTGGAGACCTTTTGAGAGCTGTATGCAACAAAAATTCATTTTAATGTCTGCCAATTAATGTACATTCAAAGAGACAATAAAATTATTCTAAGTCTAAATGTAAGTCTCGGAAACAGACACTAATGCAGTCAGGTTCTCTAGCCTATAGGAACAGACAGGAAGAAGCTTAAATCTGTATTCACGTATTCACTATGGAGTATACTACACTTCTCGTTTTTACATAACTTTTTGTGCTTTACAAAAAATAAGGAAACATGCATGTGAAAAAGCCAGGAACACACAAGATCAAAACTACCTACTAGGCAATCTGCAAACCAGTAAATTCCAAATATTTGGAGGAACAATTAGGTTTTAAGCAATTTGTGAAAGGCTAACAATAATAATAGCATTTTTATTTGGTAGGAATTTGTGTCCAAATGTGGCATAAGACTTTTATTTTCTTCCAACAGTTGTCTTGTGAAGTTGGTTAGGTTGAGAATGAGTGTCAGCCAGTGAGCTTCCATGGCAAAGGGTGGACTAATGCCGGGTGTTAAAGTTCAACACTTTAACATTACCCTGCACAGACTAGGAAGCTCTGAGTTTTGTAGATCATGGAAAACAAAATATTCATGTATGGGGACAGTTAGAGAGAAGGCATATTGCTCATATTCCTTGGACTTCATGTTGGTTGAGACTCACCTGGTAGAATCTGCATAAGACAGGCCAGATTTTGTTGGATCCTGAAGGTAGTACTACAATTGCCTTAAACTGCTAGGGGTTTCACTCTAATTACACACAAAGAATTTTGCTCCAAAAAAACAGCAATAATCATAGTAATTTGTAATTCAGTGGCATTGAAAGCTGAAGTTTCAACCAAGAGTGGCAGAATGAATTAGTAGTATACATATTCCACAAAGGATTGTTTTCAATCTCTACTGCATTACTCTTAATGTAGTAGAAGGTAAGTTTCAGCATTAAAAAATCATCACCGTTAATCACCTATCCTTGATCTCTCCTCCTATTTTAAAATAGTATTCCTTGTGAGACAGATCTGAGTAGGATTAAGGGTGAGTCCAGCAGTAGAGACTCAAAGTAAACTTTGGCTGCATCAATAGAGTTATAATGTTAACATCACAGGAAGGAATTCTTCCCCTCTGTGCTACACTGCTCAGACTCTACCTGGAATACTGTGTCTGGTTTTGGTTATAATAACACAAGAAGAATGCCAAGAAACTGAAAAAAATGGAGAGAAAGAGCAATAAAAATAATAACAGGCTTGGAAGCTAAATCCAAAGAACAACAGTTAAAGGAACTGGGTATTATTAAGGAAGGAGGTGTAATAACTGTTTTCCAATATTCTCTATCATAGAGAAAAAGGGGTGGATTTATTCTCTCTAGTAGCTGAGGGTAGGAAAAGAACCAATGAGTAGAAGGTTTACAGAGAGAAATCCAACCTTGAAATCAGGAATGTCCTGATTATAGAAGCTATTAAATAGAAGGACAGCCTGCCTCTTGGATCTATGAATGCTCCATCACTGAAGATTTTCAATCAAAGGTTGAGTAATCATCTGACTGGCATGGCCTGATGGTTCCTGCATTGGGCAGGGGATTAAACTTGAAGATCTTCAGTGTCCCTTCCAACCCTATGATTCCACGAAGATCTCTCTCTATCGAGCTCAGGATGCTTCTATTATTTTAAATAAGCCAGAAGAAAGCTATATAACATCCACAAATAGCTTGTCCTCACAAACATGATTTAGAAGCAAGGTTCTTTAGAAAACATATGAAAAGTTTTGTTTAGATGAGCAAGAAAACATCCAGACTGCACATTTTCAGATTTATGGGAAGCTTTGATAAAGTTGCTATGATTAAAACAAGACAATGCATGTAACTGAGTACTTTGGTCACCTCCATACCTGCCCATCATATTCATGATGCGGATGACATAGTCATACAGCTCAAGGAGTTTTAGCTGGATCAGTGTTTTTCAAACATGGCAACTTTAAGATGTGTGGATTTCAACTCCCAGAATTCCCCAACTAGTATGTTGAGCTGCTGGTTACAGGCAGAGATTATGATCTTTTCCCCCCATCCTTCCCTTTAATAGGTGGCTCTCAGAATCTGCCAGATGGCTGTTAATTAAAGGGAAGCTGAAAGAAGCTCACAGACATTTAAAGAGATGTGCCAAGATGAACAGAAAGAAAGAATTTGCTCACAAAATAAATCCTGAGGTACGTCAAGACATCAGAACAGAGATGGTATTCAGCAGGTTCTGATCTGTTTTGGAGAACTGGAAGCAGAAATTTTGAGTAGTTTGGAGAACCGGTAAATACTACCTCTGTGCCCTGCACTTACCTGCATCCAAAATGGGCCGCGTGGAGACTCCTGGGAGGTGAGGGTGGGTGGGCGGGGCCAGCCAGGAGTGGGATTTGGGGATTCTCCAAACCACACAGAATCTTAGCTAGAGGTTCTCCTGAACCCTTGTGAATCCACAGCAGCCCACCCCTACATTTAGCTATCATCAGCTTTTAACAAGGAAAAAGGGGCCACATGTCATTATATCCTTTCTCATTACATATAAATAACCCACATTGCACAGAACCACTTTCCCAAATGGTTAGCTGTCATTTGCCCTTGAGGTGACCTGAGACCAACTTCTTGGTTTCACTGTTGCAATCTCTGAATATCCCTGAAGGAGATAGAATCCCATCCCGCCTTTGGAACTGGCTTCATACCTCATGCTACATCATTACATGTTTTTGATTTTGATTTTGCATTCTTCGGTGACCCCAAACACTGTGGTTTCTAAACTGTGGATCAGGAGCCCCCAAACCGGGGATGTGGCCCACTACTGGCCACGGCCTGTTTGAAACTGGGTCGCAGGAGAAATGGGCAAGCACACATGTGAAGGTCCCCTAGGCAAGCAGCGGGCAAGCATGCGCATGCACAAATCTCCACTTGTGTGAACGGAGGGCAATGGCACTTGCACACAAAACTCCACTTGTCCAAGTGGATGGTGCTTGGGCTTGTGCAAAGCTCCATTCATGTGAATGGAGTTTCATGCGCAAGCATCCTCTGCGTGCAAGCACAAGCACTCTCTACTCAAGTGCCCGCCACTCGCACAAATGGAGTGGTACGCACTGCATGAGCCTGCCACTCACATGGCTCCCTTGTGCCAGCCCACCAAGCTACAAAGGTTGGGGGGCAGCTGCTGTAGATGGCTGAATGTGTTGATGAATTCAAATAGTTGGGTTTATTCAATAAATCATGGCCCAGGATGAACCCAATTTACATAGGTTTCCCAAATTAAAGAACTAAAGCACATGAGACCAATGGCAGGAGTGTGCTTTCTCTGTATGGCAGTCAATCTTCGATTTATGTGTGTCCTTCATTTAAAGAGTCCAAATTTGGTTTAAAGAGAAAACACTAGTAGAAAATTGATTGAAGTCCAACCACGAACAACAAACTGAGCAAGCACACAGGTCTACAAAACATTATCTTCCCCATTTGGATGATGTATTATATTCCCAAGTATTTGAAACTACATATATCAAGTAAGTAGATTTATAGCTCTACAAATAATTTTGCAAATGCATTTTAGTGTGTTTTTGTTTTGTGATTATACATTTCTGTTCTTATTTCTTGGTTATTTTATTTCATAAAATACTTATTTCATAAGTGGCTGCTCTAAAACTCAACTTCCCTTTCTCAGAATTTACTCAAGACTGCAGCAGTGATAAGCCAGAAATCAGATGGGAACTATTCCTACATCAGTCTTTTCCGAACACCAATACTGAGAAGGATTTCCTTTTGCCTGGCAGCAGTGTGGTGAGGCACACTCCCTGAGTTCTCTTGGACATTTTTTTGTCCTGATGGGGTCTGATTCTGGGGTATCTTTGTACATCTCTTCATCTCTTTACTCTTCAGGTTTGGAGCAGCTTTTTCCTATTATATCATGAGCATGGACATCTCTGGTTTTGGCCTGGGAATGTATTTGACCCAGTTTATCTTTGGGCTCATTGAGATTCCTGCCAAGCTCCTTGTTTTTGTTATGGTAAATCGAGTTGGACGAAGGCAAAGCCAAGCCTGGGCCCTCATCCTAAGTGGGTTATCTATTGGAATCAACATTATTGTCCCAACATGTAAGTAGTTTTAGTTAGTCTCATCTTTCCCTCCCCCCTCCCACATGTTTCTCAAATTCAGCATGAACTTCAATTCTCAGAATACCCCTGACAACAATTTAAAGTTGCTGAGGTCTCTCACATATCTGGGGACTCATCACTCCAGCACGGGTGATTGAATAAATATTAATGAAATTAATTTCCCCAAACAAATTTTTACTTAAGAGAGTAACTATCCCCAACAAGATGACCTCCAATTCTGGACACAATATCTGAAAGGTACCAGATGCAATTGAGACAAATAAGAAACTGTGTACAAAGGGAGGGCCTTTGAAACTGAAACTGCCTATCAATTTCAAATGTATTGATTTTAAGGGTAGGCAAACTATTGCCTTTTACATATTTTTAGCTGGATACAGTAAACTCTCTGCATTATTCCATACTGTCACTGAGAGAGGGATAAGCTGAGGGTGGTAATTCCAAAATCTGAAGCTGTAAAGTTGCCCGGCCTGGTGCATCTCAGTAGGAAGAATCTTTCCTGAATTCTGAACAAGAAATATGGAAGAAATCAGGCTTTAAACTGTCTGGAGTAATAAAAAATCAAGACTACGTGGCAGAGGTGGGATTTACTTATCTTCCCTACCAATTTGCAAATGCGAGTGCATGTGCCTCGTCTGCACATGCACACCGCCTTCTGTGCATGGGCAGTGCTCGCTCATTATGTCGGGGTGGGTGGGTGGAGCCTCCTGCAGCCACCGCTACCAGTTTGCCCATTGGAGAGAACCGGTTGAATGCCACCTTTGCTATGTGGCAGCATCTTCTTCAACTAACATATTTTATTAAAAGACATAACACGGGGTGTAAACTGGGATGAGGAGGGTGGGGGTAAAGGGGAGAATAGTCAGGGTTTTAAGTTGGCTATTTATTTCTGATTTTATCTTTTTATTTCAGGTCTATAAACTGCTCACGTAATATTAATATAAATATAGCAGGTCAGACAAACCTCTGGAATTTAGTCAAACATTTATTCAATCTGAATGTAAAAAGCAATCTTATTACTTGTATTTGCTTATTTATCTCAGGTAGCAATAGCAATAACAAAGAGCCGAGGTGGCGCAGTGGTTAGGGTGCAGTACTGCAGGCCACTTCAGCTGACTGTTATCTGCAGTTCTTCGGTTCTAATCTCACCGGCTCATGTTTAACTCAGTCTTCCATCCTTCCGAGGAGGGTGAAATGAGGACAC